CACACACACACACACACACACACACACACACACACACACACACACACACACACACACACACACACACACAAAGTTAAACTCACAACACTAAAAACACACTACACAAATGTTTACGCGGTGTACGGTACCAAATAATGATATTAAAAATGCAAATACAAACTAGGTGTGGGATCAAATACTCTCAAATTTTTTTTTGCCGTTCCGTAAAATTTACTATAAAACCCGCTCACGCCTTCACATAGGTTGTCCGTGATTACAGAAGAAAGCGTCAGACAACGTTAGTACTTCGTCTATCAATAGAGTCAGCATGCGTCTCTACATCTCGTTTCTTCTTGGTGTGCTGGTTGCCCTACAGCTGTGGGACACGATCAATGGAAGAAGACTTCCCGGTAAGTGTGGCCTGCAGTAAATAACACATATTACAACAGTGGCGTGTAAAGTTATCATTATTAGCCGGTAATATATTTATTTTCGCAAAGGCACAACTGCATTCTGCGCTGCATATAATTCTATCCGATCTATTTGTTTTAACCAGACGAATTATGATGAACACAACTTAGTCACTAACGCGCGCATGGTTCGTTTGCAGTTAGAAACCATGATTTCTCTCACTACATCGTTGGTGGGACAGTGGTGGGGGCGGGAGCGAGGCCGTACCAGGTATGCAGCTACATGACGCAACGCATTCGTTACTTCGTCTTTTACGTATAGTGCTATAGATATAGATACGAGGACGGTTCGTTGATTTCCTATTTAACTGTCTGAGAGCTTAAATTAGTTCTGAGCGATTTGGTTGTATGTAGGGCTCTACGATAAGTTGGAACATATATATATTGCCCTATAATGCGGAAATAAATTTCGGACGTGTGTTCATTGCTTTGTTAGTCGTTTTGGTTTGTGTATTTTCCTAAATATTATTGTTTTTATTTATGCCTTTGCAATAGGTGGGACTTATTAGGAGTGGAGAGATGGGTGAACCATTCTGTGGAGGTTCGCTGATCGCCGCGGACTGGGTGCTGACTGCTGCTCATTGTGTGTAAGTTTACAAACGCACGCACACACACGCACGCGCGCAGACATACAAACACACACACACACACACAC